AAAAACACTTGCATAATGACATAATCTTTTTCTTTATCACCAAGAGGTGTTTTGATCGGTCTTCATACTCATGGATTTAGAGCTCATTTGGATGTGTTTTTACAATGATTAAAAGCGTTTTTGGTGAAAATATTTTTGGAACCAATCCTTAGTAAAAATGCCAGTAAATCCTGGGAAAGCACTTAAAGTGCTTCCTGGAAGAAGCATGTAACTAGTGCTTCTTGTAGAAAGTACTTAAAGTGCTTTTGGAACCCAAAAATATTTTCTCTAAAACCGCTTTCAGCCATTTTCAAAGCACATTCAAACGAGCCATTAGTTTTGCTAATGCTTATTATAGGAAGTTTCTAAAGGTTACTTAACAGCTAACATAATGACGAAATTAGTGTATTTTATGTTTCACACATTCTTCCTAATAAGCATCCATATACTAGTAATAATTCAAGCTCGAGCTGTAGATTAATCACCATCACTCATTCGTCAGCCTGCACAACCATGACTTACTTTCCTGAATTGCATAAAATAAAGGGAGTTTTAATGAAAAGGGCCTTGCACTATTCATTATTAATCAAAAGGACATTTTGTGTATGAAAAGTCCATAATTGATCAAGTTCTTTTCTTTATTTACTCTTATGCCATTATTTTATTATTGCAGCGGGATCCACAATGATGTTGACATTTCTATCTGGAAATACATTATTTTACATGATGCTATTCAACTTATGCTAATCTGCTGTCAGCTCTTCATGCTTCCATCATGTTGTCGATGTTATACAACTCTTCTTCTGTCAAATTGTTCCAGTACTGTTCATCGCTTTCTACTAGCTCTGCATCTCTTTCTCTATCTTCTTTCACCTTATAGTACATTTCTGCTGTTTCTTCTTTGAAATTTTGAGGCTTCCAATAGGGCTGATGACTGATCCTTGTCTTGTTGTAAATATACATTTCTTCTTCTTCTGTTACTAATACCATATCATACCTAAAATCTTTAAACTCATCTACGGCTAGCATTTGGATCCCTCGAAATTTTAGTATATTTTTGTATGAAGAAGTCCACCTATGTGAGAAGATAGGGGATAGTCTAAAGGACTCTTCAGTAATTATGGCTAATACCTAACTTTCTCCCTATGCATATGTACATACCAATCTAGAGGACTGCTAATATAACTTATGCAAATTTCTTTCCACTTTTCCAGATAATCTTCTGCTACTTTTATATGTTTTTCAGGAAATGATTCTAGTTGAGAAATATGGTTAATGAATTTTTTATCAAGATAGCCAAACTCTAATAGTAAGGCAGGGGTAACTTCTACCACATTATACTTTTTTTTATGCTCATAACTAAAATATCATGGTCTAAAATATCTCATGTTAATTATGGTCACAACTATGTTAACCTCTAGTTTACAAATACAATTCTCTATACTATTACAAAGACATGGTGGATCCATCTTTATAATAATATTCATCCCTGGTTTTGAATCAAAGATGGACTCATACAAAGCACATTGTAATTGTAACTGTAACTCTTTCATGGACTGTGATGCTCTGCTTAGGATCTTATTTTGCATATCTGGTGGCATTATTCTTAATTTTGCTTTTGAAATTTCTTCTAATAAGATATCATCTATTATTAAGTCTAAAGATATATTCTTAAGAAAACTTTCATATCTTTCTTGTTTTTCTTTGTCACTCAAATGCTGATGCTGCTCCATTTCAATGTCTTCTTCTAAAATCGGATATTCATGTTCAAATATTTCTTCATCAAACTCTTCTATATTATTATGCTCATCATTTTCTTTCGAGTTTTCCAAATAATAACTATTTTGACTACTAGATTCTTCTCTACTTATGCTTTTGTATGCTTCGACATTATTACTTTGGTCAGTTATTGTAATACCTCTTTTAAAAATGTTATGTTAGGATTCATAAATAAAAAACCTTGTAAACTTTTCAAAAAGTTTAAACCTAAAATGAATGGGTATGATCCTACTGGTGAAACAAATGTTAACGGTAAATTAAATTGTGGTTTTTCTACTTTAATAGACTCATTATTAATGCAATGTGTTAAATAAATTGGCCTCTCATCAAACTGTGTTATTCTCACTGGTTTTGCTAATTTTTATTTATATTTTTCTGGTACTAATTCTTCTCTTATGACACTCTTTGTACTCCATGTATCTATCATAGCTGTTGTTTGTATCTTATGTTCTTTTGCTAATTCTATTTCACAATTTATGGTAATTAAAGAACTATTTTTTTGGCTTTTCTATACTATGAAAAATATTTCCTAATATTTCAGTATTTTTTTGTGATTCTGTTGAATTAACCTCTAATAACCTATTACTATAACAATTTTCACAAATATTGAATATGTATTCTAGTACTTATGTGCAACTAATTTGCTACACTTATGACATTTTTCTGGCCAACCTAAATTAATGTATTTATATTCTTCTTCATGTTGTTCTTCTATGAATGCACACATATACTCTTCTAAATCACTATTTAAACTACTTGAATCGTCTGAGTTTGAATCTATCATATTTATACTTTATATACTATAAATATTCTCATTATCACTTAAATCATCTAGACTGTATATTGACTAAATATCCTCATCCTCTTCTAACTTAAACAACTCCATCAAATGTACTTTTTCTCTCGGTTGTTTACCTAATTTTGGATATTTAGGTCTAATATGTCCAGCTTCTCCATATGAATAACATTTACAACTACTCTTATCTTTTGGTGCTTTATATTTTCTAATCCAAGGTTTGCCACTTCTGTTCCTAAATTGTTATGGAATATATTTTCTCTTCTTATAAGTTCTTGAAGGTCTTATGCTGAAATTCTTATACTGTTTGTAGGATTTATATGACCTATATTTCTTTTTATATATTTTCTTATGATTATTTTTTTATGACAACCATACTGTTGTGGTAAATCTATATTTTTACAACTCATACAAAATTGCTTCCTAATTTGTCTCTTAGCTTTTATTTGACTACACTCTTGTCTAAATATATCATATACATATTTACATATTGAATTCTCGGTCCTATTGCAATATCATTTTTCTTTGGATGTTTTTGTCATTCATTCCAAGTCTTTTCACCTATTGGTCCTTTTATTTTTGTCATATAAGTATCTAATAAATTAATATCACTAATTCTACTTGTTCTTCCGAAATATTTAAAGGAATATGTGGTATACTCAGTTATATACTGCAAATCATAAATTTGTAATTGTTCTAAATTTCTAATTGCTCTTATTTGTTCTTGTTCGCTTCTGCCATCTAACATATTATGATCTAAAAATTCTTGTTTAATCAAAGTACCAAAACCATCAATATTAAGATGTGTTTTGGCTGCCTGATGTTGTTCTAGATTTTGAACTTTCCATGATTGGAAATAGTCAAAAACTAAACTAAACTAATCAAAAACTAAACCATCCAAAGTATGTTCAAAATAATCTAACATATTTTGTGAATTACTAAAATCTAACATTAATGTTGCATGTACGCAACCTTTTTGCCATCTTTCAATTGTTCTCTCCCAATGTTGTAGATCTACATTATCTAAGTTTAATATATTGCCTGCTATATCATATACATGTTGAATTCTCGGTTCCATTGCAATATCATTTTTCTTTAGATACTTAGTAGGATGGCCATTATAACAACTAGACATAAAACTTTACACATGGAACTCAACATGTTTCAGCATGACGACCACTCACAATGCAAGTATAAGGCCTTAACGGTTGAACTCAGAGGTACGAAAAACTCAAAGGTACCCTGGTTAATGTCCAATTATTTGTATGACAAACATTCAACTATAACAGAGTGCTCGAATAAAGTATGATCGTCAGTTTAGCAGGTTAATAATATAACTACAATAGTGTTTCCCTGTTTTGGACTAGAAGTCTATTTAAACAAACACACTAAAGAAAGGAAAGAAAACTTACTTAAGACTTGGAGATTGCTTGAATATGTACATTTGAACGTTTATTGATATATAGAATGTTTACAAAGAGAAGTGTTTACAAAGAAATGTTTACAAGGGATGCTAGGAAGGTTTTGGATGCTTGAGTGTATGAGGAAGGTTGGTGTGAGTATGGTGTGAGTATGGTGTGTCTCTGCTGTGTTGTTTTTTGTGTGTTCTGCATGGGAGGAAAATCTCCCTTATAAACAAAACCTAATTCCTAGACAACAAAATAACTTTTCATCTATTTACAACTTTTTGAATAATGACAGCACACTATTTTTGAAAGTTGTCAACACTATTTCTAAAAGCTGGCTGACTTCTCTTTGCTTTAATGAAGGTCATGTGTGAATCCATGTTGTCTTGGCTGCTGCAATGTTTGCCACCTTAACTTTTGCATTCAAATGTTTTCTGAAAGTGCCAGTCCTCATTTTTCTTCTTTTGGATGTATTCTTTGATGAAGACCACATGAACTTTACTGGATACTTGGTCAATTTTGTACAAATGTTTGAAGAGTAGCATCGGCATTTTTGAAACAAAGAGCTAAAATAAAACCTTATCTACTAGAATTTTCAGTGTTGTAGCATTTTTCAAGAAGATTATATTAAAACAAAGAGCTAAAACTTGATGAATGAGACATAAGTTTGAGACACTGCTATTTTAGCATCCTCGTTTCATGTTGATTTCTTTCTTTTTTTCTTCCCTTTAAAAATGAGAACTAATATTATTGCTCTCTCTCTCTCTCTCTCTTGTGTGACATAATTATGATATAAAAAACATCACATTTGAATATAAATTGCACTTTAGTTGAAATTCTTATTTATAAAATGAGAACTTGTATGTTACGGAAATTCAGATCCTATTTATAAAAAGAACACTAGGCGTGAAATTTAAGAAAATAACACTTAGATATAATATCCAACTTCAAATAAAATCAGTAAAATAAGTTGGGTGCAATCACCTACAAATCATACGTATATGTGAAATAATTCAGTTTTATAAGTTGGGTGCAATCACCTACAAATCATACGTATATGTGAAATAATTCAGTTTTTTCCTGCCAATCAAAGTTTGAGCCTAAAAGATGGTTTACATACATGTTCAAGTTATACATCATGACAGCCACATATATGTGGTGTGGGGGCTCATACTTTTCCTCTTAATTATCACTTTCCCTAATAGTAATTGCCATACTTGCCCTACCTCCAGTTCTCCATCCATACATGTGTGCCCACGACTTTATCGTGATGTAACAAAGTTTCTTCCCAGTTGGGTCGCCACCTTACCCCATTACATATCGTGCCCTTGCCTAACAAGGCTTTCAATGTCACCAACTTTACTTATATATGTATATTTAACAACAAATAAATACAAAAGAAAAGGATCGAAGTTGCTGTTCTATACATAATATTTTACGGTCAACCAACAACTATTATACCATCATTGCACCCTTTTGGACCATATCACTGGAAAGCTGAAAATACAAAAGTAAAGTGGGTGGATGCCTGAAGATATTGAGAACACATTTTAATTTGAAATTTGGGCTTTCAACTTTGTGATCGCATCAGATAGGGCCTTTGTGGAAGCCCCATTCTCACTAAGAGCCTTGGCACCAGCATCCTTTAGTTCCTTCATTCGGTTTCTTAGTCGCTTACCTTCCTCGCCTTCCATGAAAGATTGAACCACCATAGCGATCTCCTCCCTTCCGATCAAACCATGTTCATCGGGCTTGGGTCGCAGTGCCACCTTTAGATCTTTGGTAAACATAAAAGCATTCATTTTTTGTTCAGCATATAGTGGCCAAGCAATAAGAGGTACACCATTTACGACACTTTCCAATGCAGAATTCCAACCGCAATGGGTCAAGAACCCTCCTATTGACTCATGACTTAGAATATGAGCCTGCGGTGCCCAATTAGGCACCACCAGACCCCGCCCTTGGGTCCTATCTAGAAATCCTTCGGGAAGAAACTCCAAAGGGTCATTTTGGCTGTGAACAGTAAAATAAGTGGTATTGGCAGCTTGGTCACTAGGACTCCTCACCACCCACAAAAATCTTTGCTCACTCATTTCCAACCCTATAGCCAACTCATTGATCTGATCATAAGAGAGGGTCCCACCACTCCCAAAAGAAACATACAATACAGAGCCACGTGGCTGCTCATCCAGCCACTTCAGACACTTGGATGACTGGTCATCCAAAACGCCGCTGAACTCCATTTTAACTAGAGGTCCAACGGGGTAAACCGGCGGCTTACCTGGTTCTTTCTCCTGTAAAGCTTTCAATGCACCTGGCTCCAACTCTGTGAAGCTATTCACTATAATCCCATCCGCCAAACGGTACCGTTTCGTGTGATGAAGAAGCCATTTGTAGGCCTCGTCTCTCCGGTCCTGAACCGGGTCGAGCAACTCACTGCCGGGAATTGGGATGCACCCAGGAATCGTGACAGGGTCGGAGAGGTCTCGATACTCGCACGACACCGTTTCGTGGAGCTTCGGCAAGTAGAGGAAAAGAGAGAGGGCCATGGCCGTGGACGGGAAGAAAATGTAGTTGGAGAGGTTGAATTCTTTGGCCACATCGAAGGCGTCCGTGCCGAAGAGATCGACGACAAGCCCGACAAGCTTCGTGCGGGAGGCCAAGGAGCTGAGGGCGTCGCGGAGGGAGGCGAGGGATCGGGCGACGGTGAGGGAAATTATGGTTTCGATTTTGGAGCCTTGTGGGAGGTCGTCAAAGCAGACTGGCGGGAGGAAGACATGGTCGATGGCGGTTGGCAAGGCGTCGAGGACGGACTTTTGGGCTTTTGTGGGAGGGCCGTCACAGGGGACTACGAATGTGACGGTGAAGTTGTGAAGGTGGACGAGTCGTTTGGCAAACTCGGCGAGTGGGATGAGGTGGCCCATGCCTGGAGTCGGGAGAATTGCTATGTGAGGTGTTTGCGATTTTGCCATGGTGGTTAACTTGTGCTTTTTGGGTAAGTGCTTTTCGGTGAAGCGCTTTTGGGAGAGAAGAGAAGTTATGTGGGCATGTGATGAGAAAGAATCAGGTGAGCTGCTGCCTTTTATAGATGAGAGGTGTTTTGGGAAGAGAGAGAGAGAGATTAATAGTTAATTGGGATTAGGGAGGTTTGCTTTTGGTACTTAATGTAGGGTTTGTGTTGTTTGGTTGTGGTGGTGGGAATATTATGCAAGGATGTAATATGTGCGTGTGTGTGTGTGTGTGTGTGTGAGAGAGAGAGGACGGCAACTTCTAGAGGGTGAGGTCTATTAGAAGGGATGGCCAGCCATGCAATCATATGAGTGATGTCAATTCAAACGTAAGGCTTACGTCATCAAAATTTATATCTGTCTTTTACATAATCACGAATTCTCCTTTATAAATGCTAATTGCATACTAAGAACATCTTCAAATGAGATATTAAAATATCTAAATAAATAATAACGGTAACAAAATACAGCATTAATGTTTTCCAACTAAGAAGCCAAATCTGATGTGACATAACATAAAATGACATCTCTTTCTCCCTTGCTACCAAATTTGACAGCACCTTTAGATTTTTTTTAATTAATTATTAAATGCTTTTTATTAATTTTTTTATTGGTTTAAAACATTATCCTTTTGTTTCTTTTCATTCCCGATGTAAAGAAAATACATATGATTTTTTATTTTATGTTTAAAATTTGGCATATCGGTTGGAAAGTAAAATTTTAAAAGATATCAAAGTGCCACGTAAACCTTCACATTTAAATTTTACGTTTAAAATTTGAAGGAGATGGTCTAACCTTGTCAAAACCATCTGCGAACGTAATTCTATTAGTCTAATCATTCAGGCAATATTATTCACGAAAGATTTTTTTTGGGTCAATATTTGTGAAAGATCTTAAATAAGATCCACACATTCATTTTTACTTCTCACACATCATTCTTAATTTTTGGTCGTTAGATAAAATGAATTAAATAAGATCAATAACAAAAAATTAATAAGAGTGTGTGAGGTGACAATAAGTGTGGGAATAACACTTTTCAACTATAATATTGTGAAAATGAAGTAAGTCTAAAGCACTTGGGGAATTGGATCCTCTCCGAGGCAAACCATTGGGATCCTCCTGACCCACTAACACGGACCGTTGGATCAATCCAACAGCTACAAACAGGGAGGTTCCTCTAAAAGTTATAATAATTGTAGCCATTTGATCAAAATCCAATGATCCGTGTTATTGGGTCAAGAGGATCCTGAGGGTTTGCCTCAGAGAGGATCCAATTCCAGTACTTGGTATATTGTATAAGCATAAATATGGACAAAGTTGATAAAATGACTACAAAATATTGACAATTTACTCGTACCACAAAGGCCAGTAATACTCCTTTCAACACATCGGTTTCCATATAAATAGAAGGATTTTTATCATAAATAGGTCATGAGATTGATCAAACTCATCATTCTGGCCCATCACTTTCAAAATCAATCAATGTCGCCCCTGACATTCACTACCCCACATCATTTGGTTCTTCCGTTAAGATTCTGTCAACTATTCTATAAGTTTGTATGTGAGACCCACAAACCCAATGAAATGGTAACACGTGAATTACATAAAATAAGAGTTTTTTTTATCACAAATGGTCCCTGACATTGATCCAACTACTCATGTTGGTTCATGAGTTTCAAAATTCGATAAATTTGGTCCCTGACTTTCACTACCACACATTAATTTAGTCATTCCGTTAAAATTTCATCAATATTTTTCATTTATGTGCTGATGTGATCCCACTAATCCAATCATATGGCTCCACGTGAATTAACTATAAGAAACTATATTTTTTAAGAGTGAACCAACAGACGAGTATTCCTCGCTAACATTTTTCTCCCATCCCACAACCCCAATTGGAAGGAAAAAAAATCAATCTAAATGCAATAAAATCAAATCCAAATTCAATTCAAATATGATAGGATTATAGCCAACTAGATAGAATGAGGAGTGAGTTCAGGAGGCCAAGTACTTTAGTGGTATCATGGTGCCTTCTTTTTCTTTTTTAGCATACTTTGATGAAGACGACGATGGCTTTTTTTTTCTTATGGTTTTGGTTTTTAGTTTCTTATTTTACTTTTAGTTTTAAATCTTAAAAAAAACAGTTTCTTATAGTTAATCCATGTTGCGTCATATGATTGAGTTAGTGGGACAAAAGATATTGACGAAACTTTAACGGAAGGATTAAATTAATGTGCGATATTGAAATTCAAGGACCAAATTTATCGATTTTTGAAACCTAGGACCAAAATGAGGAGTTGGCTCAATGTCAGGGACCATTTGCGATAAAAACCCTTATTTTATGTAATCCACTTGTCATCAATTCATTGGATTTGTGGGTCCCACATAGTTGATGAAATTTTAACAAAAAGACCAAATTGATGTGCGGTAGTGAATGTCAGGGACCATTTGTGATAAAAACCCTAAATAAAACACACCTCTAATTGTGTGTTTAGATTAGTTTGATAGGTTTTATTTTAACAAACGATATTATCTACACTAAGGGGATGAAAGAGTGAGCTAAGCCTCACAATGGGTGAGCCATAATTATGTAGTTCAAATTCACCTTTAGCGAGAATCAAATCTAAAACCTCTCACTTATAAGTAAGGTTTTAAAAGACGCTAGGCGCTAGTTGGGCAGTAGGCTAGGGCATATGAGGATTTAAATAATTTATTATATATGTATAAATAAGTGTCTATTTATACTTAAAAAACACATAGTTGCATTGGGATACATAAATTGCAAAATAAAATGACATACATATTATAAAATATTAGAACACATTGAAAATATGGGGAACAAGCATGTAATGAGTGTTCATCTGAAAATATGTGGAACAAGCATATAATGAGTGTTCATCCAATTATTCAACAAGTCTCTTACATTTTATTAAAAAAAATGCAAAATTAAAGTTATCGATTTTCTCTATACGTAAGAGTCACAACCTAGGCAGGTGCCTAGGAGGATCTAGGCGGATTAGGCAAACGCCTAAGCGTCCTTTATTAATTTTCAAACGTCTAGGGACAAATTGGGGCAGTGGTCAGCCACTTAGCCCCCACATGGACATTCCGTCAGGTGTGGGGTTTTATCACAAATAGTCATGGTATTAGTTGGACTAGGGTTAAAATACTTAAGCTCTTCTTTTCGCAGAGATACAGTCAACGTGTGATATTTCAACACGCCTCCTCACATGAGATCCAATTAGTGGGTCACACGTGGGAGATCCACAAATTGACAACCACCTGGAGCTAAGGGGACTCACCCTACATGCATAACCAAGGACCCACCATCATCGCAAGGGGCCAATAAGATCCACCCATCACGTGGCAATACGAGCCCGCTCCCTGTTTCTAATATACCATGTAGAATTATCAGAGAGACGGACTAAAGACCCACTTCCAACAACACTAATATAATCTCTAACTTGGTAATTATCACATACACAATCTTTTAGGTGTGTGGTTTTATCACAAATGGCCTTGGTATTAGTTGGAGTGGGGGTTAGGATATTTAATCTCTTTTTTTCTCAGAGATATGGTTGATTTGTGATGTGTGTCACTATCCGGTATGTTGGATGGCAATGGACAAATGGCATCATTTAATGTATTTAGTTGTTAGCTTTGTTAGAAGTTTGTGAGGTTGTTAAGTGTGTTTGTATATATAGCTAGAACTATTGTATCAGAAGGATTAATCAATTCAAGAGCTTTCATTTTCTACTACATCTCTCCTTTGTTTCTCCCTCTATCATCTTCTTCTTCTGTAAACTGCATCAAACTTTCATATTTTGCTATGTAGTTAACATGGTATCAGAGCCACGTTCACACCATGGATTCTGCTAGTTCCACTTCTCGTTAGTTTCATCTCTTTCTAGTCTTTATTTCTTTTCTAATTTTTGTTAGAAATTCCGTTAATTTCTTCAATGCTTCCACAATGGTTCAGTTTGTTATGTACCTTCTGGTTTAATTTTCAGTTCTTAAATTGTTGGTTCTTGAATTCGGGGTCTTTTCATATTTTCATCAAGTTCTTATCCTCCTAATACAAGGAAAGAAAATGAAATTTCTAAGAAGGCAGTGATGATGATTCATAGTGGACGGGAGTCTAAGACTGGTCTCGGTCAGGCTAATCATCGTTGTTGACATCATCTTAGAAGGGCTCCAAAGACGGGTCGTGACCATAGCAAGAGATTTTTCAATTAAGGCCTTCAACTGCCCGACTACTAAAACAGAGGCTTGTCCGCACTGCTGCTTGTCCTTTTCCCAACCATCGAACATCACCACCCCAATTTTTACTCAACAACGTCAAGATCATGTATAGGTTTTTCATTTTCCGTGCGTAGCCTGTGATTTCAGAGATGAAGTGATTTCAGCAATGTGATATATTTGGACTTTAGGGTATGATTTCGTTCTGAATTCTTGGTTTAATTTCACGTTCTTGCTTTCATTTCTTGATCGAACTATCAACAGTTAATGAAATTTTAAGACACAAAGCTTGTTCTTTGGATCCACAATTGGGTTATTGTGCAAGTAGATATCCCTGGTACTTTAGCACACCAGGTGTTTGACGATTTTTCTTAGGCTCTAAGAGACAATGAGATGGGTACGAATATTCTGGCTTTCTCTCCATGATCCTGTTGTGCTTACTTCTACATCTCCAAAGTTTGTCAACTTTCTCTTAATGCGCCAAAATCCTAATTCTTGGTAAATTGATGTATCTACTAGTGATTTGTGTTATTTGGAGATATGGTCTATATATCCAATTGCTCATGTTTCTTTGCCTGAAGACTACTTTATTCTTAATTGCTTCTTGAAACTTGAAATTACTACCACTGACTTGTGCCAAATTGAGAAGTGCGATGTCTGGAAAAGATTACTGAGGAGTTCGTGAATTTTTTGTTTTTTGTTTTTTGTTTTTTTTTGCTCCATCACAACCTATAATATCAAGTCTAACAAGCTTAGTTGTAGCATGTATCTATAAGAAGTCCGGTTGTATGTGTCTTAAAAAGATGAAGTTTGAAGAAGTTGTTGATGTTAAATCCCACGAAGGGTAATCCCGTGTTATGAGTAGGTAAATCCCACGAAGGGTAATCCTACATAGATGTTGATTTTCTATTCTTGAAATTGTGAAGGCTAATGCCATTGTTAAGAAAAGTTGTTTCTGGTAAAATCCACAAATGACAATCCCGTGGTACTATA